AAAAAGGGTATGTGTGTAACCAATATGTAATGTAGTAATAGATGTCCCTCCAACATCCATTAAATCAGTAACAAGTTAAATTTCAGTCAGAGGTTAGTGAAAAAAAATTTTTTCCCACCCAAGATCACAGACCGCTAAAATCTATCTATAGACCTCTCCAGGTTAAAATCCCAGCCTGAAGTGATACATCTTGGCACCAGTCTATTATCATTGGGTAATTCTGAATTTTGTGAATAAATACTCTGCTTCCTTTTATAAACTTCTCTCGTATTTCCCCCTCCTTCTCTTTTGTCTTATTTTTTTTCCTACAGTTAAAAAAACCAAAACTTAAATACTTCAGCTATCCCATTTAGGAAAGGTACCAAGTACCTTTGTGTTGTCATTTTGAGACGCATTATGAGAATCTCAGAGTACTCAAGATGTCTTTCTAAAGTTGCTATTTTCCTCCCAAGGGAAGTTCCCATTGGCACCAATATCAACCAACTTTCTTGGCAGAGCTGGCAGACTAATGTCAACTTGCTTTGTTTTTGGATTGATAATTTCTGAGGTGAGGCACAAAGAAGGTCTCTGTGTATCCAGAAAAGGAGAGATAATTCAACCACTCTGCATAATTTTACTAGAAGACCAGCTAACAATATCTTCATTTTTAATATTCCTTTCTCACCATTTTTTCATTTCCTCTTGGCATGTGCGTAAAAATCCATTAAAGAAAGAAAGGCATAATGGCTTTACAAAGATTGGTTGATTGTAATTCTGAAGACACACAAGATAGTGAGTACAAACCGAAAGGAAAAAAACACAAAATAACAGAGTTGGAAGGGACCTTTGAGGTCTTCTAGTCCAACCCCCTGTTCAAGTTCCCAAAAACCTCCAGTGTTGGAGTGATTATTAAAGTGCTTTGAATCTCTTTTGAACTGAATAAGGAGAGATACTTATATTTCCATCCAGCTAAAATTTTCATTTTCTCCAAACAACATTACAGGAACATCAATTAGGATTGAAGATTCATGGACTAATAATGAATGATTTTGGATGTACATGCAGAGTGAAACTATCTAATCAGATTTCAGAAAACACCAACTCCAAATATATAATCAAACATTGGAAACTTATACATTAATAATATATTAAATCTTTCATAATATATAGATTTAACTACAATATAAATTCTTTATAAAAATAGTTAAAATGAGTTGGGTGGTACAATAAAAAGGGAATAAATCCTTGGCAAATTTTTCATTCCATTTTCAGTAACATTATTATAGAGCAGAAACTCTGTTGACATCTTTTAAAGCAACCCTTTCCCCCCACAAAAAAACCCCAGTAAATTTGTCCAAAAGAACAACAACAAAATATATGTGAACTTATTTTTTTCTTCTGTAGTCAAACTGCTAGATACCAAATACTGTATATATTTATATGGAGATACAACAAGTTTAGCCAAGTTTATATTTTCCATCCCATGTAAATCTAACAGTGAAAAGTTTATTGATATGATCTCATATATAGAACAGTTTGAGTTTTACACTATATTCCTTTCGAAAATATTTGATTAAACATTTCACAAGCCATGCTGACTTCTGTGAAGAAAACACATACGGTATATTTACTTTACAAGTGCCGTGTGGAATAAAACTTAGATTACAATGTGCTTCTATTGATAATTCATCATAGCAACATTTTCTCATAGAAAAATAGTGGTAAACTTTTTTCTTGATATCCTTATGATAAAGCCAGGCCAGTTTTCCAGAGCCTGATGTCCTGCACCTGAATTTGACTTCATTTCCCAATATTCCCCATGCAGCCCTGGAGAATTACCTTTATGTAGGTAGCAGAGTCTTTCTTTCTAAGTGGACTTAATGTCTTTTTTTTTTAACACAAAGAACAGACTGAATTCCCTCATCTGAAGGCTGGGTGAAGAAAAAACCTTGACCTCCCTCTCTTCTCTGAGACACTATTTGCTTATATAATGAGCTATACCTATCATTTGAATATGTTCACTACAAACTTTAATAAATGAATGATTTTTCCTACTTGTTCATAAACAATAGGAATGCTGAGGTCATGAACACAATTAGTTAGAAATGCCAAAATGTATTTTTAAAAGATTGTTAAAAGTGGTAATTCCAAATGCTGGGTTTTGTCCTTACCTGAACTACTACATGATTGAAAGCTCAGGGGAAAAAAATACAGGCAAAGGTTGTTCCTTGTGCCTGATTTTGCTTATATTGTCAACCACCATGGAAAGCCTTTCCATTGGTTGCCCCATAAAAGAATCACTTAGCAGCTGGAATCACTGAGAAGTTCTGCATGACCAATTTATAACATTAACAGCCACTCTTTGGTTAAACAAAGCAGGCGTGCCTTAGTAGTATATTGAGAGTGATAGCTCAGTGAAGCCATACATTGCTAGGGTTAAAATGCTGTAATTGTTGAAAGAAATTGGATCTTTTTAATTGGAGGATAGTAGATTTTTTTTCCAGGCCAAAAACATGAGAAGGCCTCATGAATACATTTGAGAAATAGATTGAAGCATGGGGAAAAAAACAGAAATATGGTCAGTTAGCTAATAGTGGTATATACATTTACTTTTCCCCCTCTGGGACTCTATTTTTATACTTTTATTGAGTATTTGAAAAGGGGTTTTTTTTGCCACCAAAATTATGACAATGTTGGCACTTTAACACAGGGATAGCTTAAGATGGATATTTTGAATAATCATTATTGCCTTATTGGGACATAGTGGATGCACAGAGACAGCCTTTCTCAGTAGCTGCTCCATCCCTAATGAGGTATTTTGTCCTCGAAATCTGGGAGGCTCCATGTTGGTCTCTTTTGCCTGACATCTGATGTTTGAGTTACTTATTTGTTGGGTTATTTTAACTGTTAGGTCATTTAGCTGATTTTTAACTTCTCATTCTACTTTTTTATTCTCATTTTTGGTATGTTATTATAGTTCTTTGTTTTATTTATGCATTTTGTAAGATTGTAAACCACCCAGAATCTTTTACATGTGGGTGGGCTATGAATTTATGAAAGAAAGAAACAAAACGGTTTGCGATCTCTGTACCGTACCCGATCTTGCTCTGTTCGGTATAATAATGATTGCAACCAAACATACATTCTTCTTACCAACTGATTGTAGAAGACTGAATCAGAATCAGAATAGAGCTGGTAGGGATCTCGGAGGTCTTCTGGTCCATCTCCCTGCTCAAGCAGGAGACCCTATACCATTTCAGACAAGTGGCTGTCCAGTCTCTTTTTAAAAACCTCCCGTGATGAAGCACCTTCTGAAGGCAAGCTGTTCCACTGGTTAATTGTCCTCACTGTTAGAAAGTTTCTCCTTAATTCCAGGTTACTTCTCTCCTTGATTAGTTTTCCATCCATTGTTTCTAGTCTTGCCTTCTGGTGCTTTGGAAAATAAATTGACCCCCTCCTCCTTGTGGCAGCCTCTCAAATACTGGAATACTGCTATCATATCCGCCCCTAGTCCTTCTTTTCTGCTAAAATTGAAAATGAAAGTGAAAAGACAAGTAAAGGAAAAACTAAGAGTGGAGTCAACTCTTGTTCATAATAGAATGTTCTAATTTTTAGGCTTGTAGTAGTAACTGTTTTCCCGTGTCTAAGGCCAGAGAAATGAACCCAACCAATTTTCCTTGATTGAGAAAAATTAAGGCTGGAAACTCCCTCCTAACATTTTACTAGCCTTTAAGGGATACTCTTTTCAACTTCAGAACAGCAGAAATGGAGAGAAGTGGTTAGTTAGACAAACATGAACATTTTGTGCCTAGTGACATACAACAGTCATTTCATATCTATTATTTAGATTTAGTTTTGGAATCCAGAATATTTCTTTAAGCTATAACACAAATGAGATCTACTTTTTTCAATTAGTAGTGCACAACTGATGGCATAAATGTTCAAGTTTAGATATTTATTAAATTTATTTACCTCCCATTTCACCACAAGACTACTTAAATGAAACTACACACACACGTATGTATGTATGTATGTATGTAGGTATGTATATATGTGTGTATGTGTATTATATAATCACATTAAAATTGCAATAAAATGCAAGTTATAACTAAAAATGAGGAGGAAGGGAGCAGAATATATGGGGGTGGGGGTGGTGAGGTGGGAACTATTATTAATCAATCAAATAGTGTGATCTTCCCCTATTGGGTCTCCAAGCCAATTGGCAGAGCCAGGCCTGCAGATTTTTACAGAAAGTCAGGAGAGTGGGAGCCAATCTCACTTCCAAAGGGCTGCCACAGCAGTCTCTTCTCCTGCACTCTGCCAGCTGGATCTGCAGCATGACTGTTCTTGATCAATTGATCAAACATATATAGATGTATATGTATGTGATGATTCTATGGCTTTATATTGTTAGAAAATAAAAAATGTCAATTAAAAAAGATATGAGGTTTAGTAAGGACAATTTATGGATTAATTTTCCCTAAGAAACATGAATATTAAACATATTCTGATCCTTGAATAACTACTACTGTATACTATTAAAGAGAACAACACTTAAAACCCATTTCCCTATTTTAACTTCCCTGTAGCTGCAGAATAGAAGGAACAGGGAGATGTTGTTAAATAAGTTATACTGCCAGGTTTGTTCCATCTCACTAAGACAATCATACAAAAACTGTAGAAGGTATGCAGAGAGACACAATACAACAAAGACATTAACTTGGCTCATCTACCATAACTAGAAATGTATCTTTTTTGCTTTAGATCAGGGGTGTCAAACTGCTGGCCCGTGGGCCGGACGCGTCATCCGGAAGTTGTGCCCACCCCATTGCCAGCAATGGCAAAACTGTCCCGATATGTCTCACGACATCATGTGATGTTGAGAGTTTGACATGTTTGCCTTAGATTGTAACAGAGTAAGTGTGGTGATAAAGGAACAGAGCTAAATGAACACATGCACTTGTAACTTATAAAATAATGGAAACAAGACTTTTTAAAAGTAAATTCATTATTTGCAAGTTTTAAAACAATACATACGAGAATTTGAAAGATATGACACAGATTGAACATCGTAATTTTTGGCAAAATGTGATTGTCTTTGATGTGGCTACATATATAACATCCAGGAGGAATTTGGGAATTATTAGGGTGTGTAATTTAAATTATGATTGATATTTTTAGAAGATTGGGGAGTTGCTTAGTTTGAAGATTACTTTAATTACGCTTGTAAAGCTTCAGGCAAAAAGAAAAAGCAACAACGTCTCTGGTAACAATAATATTTGATATTGACAAATTTTGCTGAATGTAGTTGAATGCCTTGATATTAAAGTGAATGGTAAATTGTGACTTAAATTCTACTTAACTTCACAGGGGCTAAATGTACCTAACTTGCTTTGGACCCAAGCTACTAACTGAATCAGATTTTAAGTACATAAACCAGTATGTAAAGCAGCTATAACAAACAAAGGATCTCAGACTAAATGTATTCTATCAGAAAGGACAGATATTACCATAGCATCACATATAGGTAATAAGCATATTTAGATCACATACCAAATCTGATTTTTTAAAAGTAGTTTTATAGGCCAAATTGCAATTACCATGAAGATTTGTTGAGATCACTGTCATCAATTTTATTGCCAAAGTTGAAACCTAAGAAAGACAATATAGTAAATTCAATACCTTCTGAGTAAATTCAGTAACTTATTTTCATTCAGCTATTATCTTTTATCTAGATTGTTCAGGAGATTATTCAAGGTAAAACCAGAATGTAGCCCTCTAGAAAATATGACCCCTGACCCCATCAAGTGCCCAGTTTGCCATTCCAACAGAGGGCAAGCACTGATTTGCAGTCTGAATGTGAGTCATGCCCTTTATTTGCAAAGAAGGAGGACCATCTGCTAACCATGAGCAGATGACAAACTTGATGCATCGACACTGCTGTTATTTCCAAATTTGTAAGTAAACACATTTTGTAACCTTGCAGATAACATTTTTCCCACTAATGGAAAAATTTAAATTTTTGCAAAACAATGAAAAACATCTTTTCTGAAATGTACTTTGAAAGCACTGCCTCAGTTTTGACAGCCAGAATTGCAAACAGCAACCTTCTAACTAGTGATCTCATTGTGTTCAGCCTCCATAACCAAGAAAATATAGCTGTTTAGGCATGAGCGGCTTGCCTCTTGGGATTGAATACCCAGAGTTCCCATGGTAGTGTGGAATTCTGGGAGTTGCAATCTCAACGTATCTCCAGAATGCTGGCTTGTATTGTTCAAACAGTCCTCCTGTGAATGGTTCTTTCTTCTAAGGGCCTTGAATCACAGTGTGCAGAAGTATTGAAATGACTGATTTGTAGGCTAGCTCTGCCCTCTTCTGGCTGTAGCTTTAAAGACACTCCTAAAGGGAACAAATCGAACTTTTATCACAGAGCCATAGCATAAATACGGCATCATTGAGTCCAGTTCTCAGCATTGCAACAGAGTCCTTTCACCTTCCATTACTTGCCCAATCCCTTCATTCAACATATTATCAGGAAGGCTTCAACAACAAGGTCTATCAGTCCAGAGGCAAGGTGCCAGTGGAGAAAATAACATGTGCATTCAATCACATCCAGATAGCTCAAACAAGTAAATTTTACCCCTAGGAAACTGATACACAAGCCACCAGCTGATTTAAAGAGGAAGAAAATAATATTTACTACTTATACACGTGAAATGGCTTTATCTATATTGGTATGAAACCATTCTTATCTCAAGCTGTAAAAATACAGGCTGGGGACAAGCTAGCCAATAGCCTTCTAGAAGCAATTGCAGCAGAATTAACAGGTCAAGCAGAAATAATCAATCCACTTTAACTATGCTTGAAGCTCTAGAAAGCCACAAAGGACTAATACAGAGGTAGGAAGGTAGAAAAAAAGGATTCTGGGAATATCCAAGTAAACCTGATTAAATTGGGAGATTACCTGAATCTATATATTTTTTTTCACACTGTAATGAAACAGCACCAACGAAGGCAACAAGGTAGAGTAGGACAGGATGGGATGGGGTGGGGAAGGAAGAAAGGAAAGACGGAAAGCAGGAAAGAAAAGGAGAAGGGGAAGAGAAAGGGAGAACAGATAGGGACCACCAGTAGCACATTTAGACATATTATTGGAGTGTTTCTATATCTGGCTCTTGAACTTTCTGAGACTGGCCCTTGTCCCTCTGTGTTCAATTGTAGCTTAGGTCTTTGCAGCTCTTCTGTAGCCCCCAGCTCAGTTGTGGCACAGAAATAAAGAGTGGGAGGATAGTTCTGCCACTGCACATGAGATTGTTTCTTATTGCCCTGCCTGCCAGATGTCCAGATTTTTTTTTCTAACCTTCGCTGAGAAAATAAGTGCAGTGAGGCAACAGTGGGTGGGATGCTAAATGGAAGGTGATATCTGGGCAGCTGAAAGGAACATCACTTGGCTCATTGTCGATACAGGGAATTGGAAGATGTCTGCATCTGGGGGTGCAGCTCAGACATGTTTCTGAGGGCTGGTTTCTGAGAGACCCCAAATTTACTGTGAAATAAATGGAAGGTTTGTGCCATTTCACCAGTAATATTCAGGAATAAACAATTTAGAAGATGTATTCATCCAGAGAATAAGGGACATTTGAGAGTCTCCCCCCCATGTGTGTGTGTGTGTGTGTCTGCACATGCAGACCTGATTATGATTAGAAATTAAAACTGGAACAAATATAAAGTTGGTTAATTGAACAAGGTTAAAAGAGATATGATTAGAAACTAAAACTGGAACAAATATAAAGTTGGTTAATTGAACAAGGTTAAAATAGATATAATGCTCTCTCTAGTGAACTTAATGGATTTTTGCTGACACTAGGACTGAAATAATGATATTAAATAATAGATTTATTTATAGATAAGAGATGGGCTATGGAAGAAGAAATTATTATTTTAAGAGAAAGTGATAAAATTGTACTTGTGATGAAGATGGGAAGTCACTTCTTTATATATTTCTCTCTCTTTTTTTCACTATATTCTTATTTTTCTTTTTGTCTTTTTTTCTTTTGTATTCTGTATTTTCTACAACAACAAAGAAAAAGAGGAAAGAGACGCGTACTTGTAGAACAGTGTTTCTCAACCTTGACCATTTTAAGGCAGGTGGACTTCAACTCCTAGAATTCCACAGCCAGCATTGCTGGCTGTGGAATTCTGGGAGTTGAAGTCCACGTGCCTTAAAATGGTCAAGGTTGAGAAACACTGTTGTAGAAGAAGTCTTGCAATAGCCTCAGAATGTAACTTGAGTTCAGTTACAGAATTACCCTGAGGCACCTCAAGTTTGGCAGATTGCTTGGAAAGAATACACAATATCAGAGGACTCACATCTTATGGCACAACCAAGGAGCCTGAGGGCTTACCTTTTATTTCTGAAGCAAGAGAGACAGCCTTCCCTTGTATCCACTTGTCCTGCCTTACACAACAAATCTGTCATTCTTGAAATATTTCTTTTGTAACAAATTAATGAGTGTGCATCTAATAATTTAGATTAAGAGTGTTTTATTTCTTTAGAAATAGGCAACAGCGGCAATGGTAGGTTAGATCATCGGAAGAAAAAAAAAAACTGAGACAGCACTCAAGAAAAATGAAACATAAAAGGCTCCACTGGCATTCTTTATGCTTTTGCCATCACCTGTTGAAAATAAAGGAGAGATTGATTAATGAACGGTGCAACCTAGTAAATGCATCATGTTCTATAAACCAACAGAGCTACCCCCCCCCAAGAAATCATGATTTTTTACTGTTTTATGTGGTTATTTTTATAGTACTTCCATAATGATCTTCCTCAGTAATATTCTCACCTTGTTCCCTAGAGGGACATACAACTGCAGAACATCTTTCACATTTTGACCATCTCCGCGTACGCTATTCCCCCTATTGATTTAGGAGGTAGAGTGTCTTTTTTTTTTTTTTTAATTAAGAGCTCACTCAGACAGTAGTGTCTTTCTTTAGTTGCTGAGTCAGCAAGAAAATATTCTAGTTTAAAATGTATTGCCTATATTTATGAGTCTTGCTATACTGTGGGTAATAGCCCATCTCCCCATGATTCTTGCTACCCAATTATCCAAAACAATCAGTTCAGGGGAATCAAAGAACTGGTGTCCAAGAACTGGCACCCATATCAAGACAGCTAGTTGGGAGAAGGAAAGGGGGACCACCCTGTGAATTAGAGAAGTGGCATCCAAAGAACCAAAGCCACTTGGATTATATTGCCTGGCTGCATAAATTAGGCATACCTAAATGTTTTTTGGGGGGAGGGTGGCATATTGTTGAAAATTACCTATAGATAATTTATCATGCATATAGTTTTGGAGTATGGTGAAAAAAGACTTTTCTTTGGGAAGAAATTATTTATTGATGCAAAGGACAAAACATTGGTACAAATGAATATCAATATAATAATATATCATAACATATCATAGTATATAATATCATAGTATATGTTATAATATCATAGTATAGCACAGGTGTCAAACTTGCCACGTGATGTGTAACGACGTATCGCAATTCTTTTTGCATTGCCGGCAATGGGGTGGGCGCGGCTTCAATAAGATGAAACCAGCCTGCGGGCCAGCAGTTTGACACCCCTGTAGTACTGTATATGATGTAATATATCACATCATAATATTCATAGTTTATGAAATTCAGTTTTTATGAAATAAGTATTTTTAATTACATTTTTATGATTTGCGCCGCAAAACACTATCACTATGGGATTTCTTGTTTCACTTCTGTTTGCTCCAAACAAGTGCTGTAGAGTCAACTGCCAGGTCCACAGCATTCATGATCTAGAACAGGGGTCTTCAACCTTGACAACTTTAAGACTTGTGGACTTCAGTTCCCAGAATTTCTCAGCTGGCTGGCTGAGGAATTCTGGGAGCTGAAGTCCACAAGTCTTAAAGTTGTCAAGGTTGAAGACCCCTGATCTAGAAGTTCATTTCTGACTCACTGAGATCCCTTTCGGAATCATTTGAGCTTCTTTCTCCTTGGACTACCTATTTTTTCCACTTGTAAAAGGTCAGCTGATCTTAATTGGATATCATTAAGAAAGTATATCCAATAATAGAATGGCTATATATTATAGAGTCCAGTGTCATAAAACCTCCCAGAGAACAAGGATGAAATATTCCCCATGGCTGCTTTCACTGGGTTATAACGCAGGGAAAAGTTTTTTGCAGTATTTCCAGCCCCACCTCTGTGAAATATTTCCCTGCTGAGACAATGAGTCACTCACTTCCTACTTAAGAGTCAGACATCAAACCCTCCTTTCATTATAAAGTATATCAATTTTCTGTATAAAAATTATTCCATAAGACCATCCATTTTACATTGCATTACCTATTTTACAAGCATTTGAAACAACAGATGCATTTGCACCAATTATTATTACTTGGAAAATTTACTCTAATATTATTATTTATTATATATATTTTTTATCCTGCCTTTATTACTTCACAAGTAAGGTAGCGAACATAATACTCCTTCCTCTTCCTATTTCCCCACAACAATAAACCTGTGAGGCAGGGTTCGGCTGAGAGAGAATGACTGGCCCAAAGTCACTCAGCTGACTTCGTCGGCTAAAGCAAGACTAGGACTCACAGTCTCCAGGTTTCTAGATCAACATCTCAACCACCGGTCCAAACTGGTTCCCTATGAAATATGAAAGTGTGTCATGAAAACCGGAAGACAGTATATTTTACATGAAGCTGTGAGCATACTTGTGCATAAATTGTATATAATATTTTAAATTAAACCAGTCAAGTGCTATTGTGAGTTTCTTCATTATCTTTTTGGATATTGGAGCTTGCCTTATTACTATGTCATCTCATCATGTTGGTCTATTTAGTTTGATTTTGTCCTGCTGACTGATAATAACTTTGTAGCTTCCCAGAAATTTTAAAAAAGGGCTTTTCTTGATCTTTGGATTGAATTTGGCATCTTTTGCAGGCAAATTATGAGAAATATCCAACACTGTGGTTCTTATCTATTGATGTTTCCATCACTGATACCTCAGCTTATTCCGAGCTCCCCTTGATGATTTTGTAAACCAAATCAGGTAAATTCAACCCACAACAACAACAACAATAATAACAATAATAATAAAGTTGGAAGGGACCTTGGAGGTCATCTAGTCCAACCCCCTGCTCAGGCAGGAAACCCTATACCATTTCGGACAAATGGCTGTCCAATCTCTTCTTAAAAACGTCCAGTGTTGGAGCATTCACCACTTCTGGAGGCAGGTTTTTCACTGGTTAATTGTTCTGTCAGGAAGTTTCTCCTTAATTCTAGGTTGCTTCTCTCCTTGATTAGTTTCCATCCGTTGCTTTTTGTCCTGCCTTCAGGCGCTTTGGAAAATAGCTTGACTCTCTCTTCTTTGTGGCAACCCCTGAGATATTGGAACACTGCTATCATGTCACCCCTTCGTCCTTCTGTTCATTAAACTAGACATACCCAATTCCAGCAACTGTTCCTAATCATCTTTGTTGCTCTTCTCGGTACTCTTTCTAGAATCTCAACATCTTTTTTACATCGTGGTGTAAAATATTAACTACTCAACATTAAGTTCATAAAAGAAAAATTAAAAAGCTGAGGAGGCAGGAAGGAAGGTGAAGGAAGAACCTGACTATTTTTACAAATACTGTAATTCTGCTACTAATCTCCTTTCAAGCGAGTCATGTTCACAGCAACTCTAAAGAAATCCCATTCTGAAGGGCATAACAACAGGCCGCTGGCAAAGTGCAAAATAACAGCAATAACTAATAGTTTCCTAAATTTCATTTATTCCGTTTAATAAAGGCTGCAACCAAATGATTACAGACATTCTTCCAGGCTGATTGGCTAGTTTTTCTTAGCTGCCCTTCCTTTCTTTGATTATTGTATTTTTCCAGGAACCACCTTTCTATCTGGCATGGGGAATGACTAATATATTCATTTAGCTATCTGTTTTTTCCATTTCTATTTTTTTTAACCAATTTCATCACAATCTCATCTAAGAGATGACATGATATGATAAAAGATTATCAGTATTAATGAAATTAATTGAAATTAATGAAATCCAATGGTGAAAAAAGTAAGGTTCTACATTTAGGCAAGAAAAACCAAACACACAGATATAGTATAGGTCAGTGGTGGTGAACCTATGGCACGGGTGCCAGAGGCAGCACTTGGAGCCTTCTCTGTGGGCACACGTGCCATTGCCCCAGCCTCACCTCCCCCACAACCCCCTCCTCTCCAGCAGCCCCCCTGAAGGAGAGTCACCCCTGAGCGTGGCCCACGTGGAGCAATGCAGCCAAGGACATGGCAGCCAGGCAGCTTAGACAAGACTCTGCCCTCACACCCCGTCGTGCACAATTGATGCTGCAGGGTGTGGGCAGAGGGCATGACCACCATAGCGTTGCTGAGCTGCCTGGGCGATCAGCGGCCCCTGGAGGTGGTGAGTGGCCCTGTGGGCAGGTGTGGTGGGGGATGGGGGTGGAGCAAGAGGCGGAGGTGGGCGGGGCCAGTTTTTGGGCACTCGGTCTCTAAAAGGTTTGCCATCACTAGTATAGGTGGTACCTTGCTCAATAGTAGCAACTGTGAGAGGGATCTTGGAATCCTAGTGAACAATCACTTAAATATGAGCCAGCAGTGTGCTGCAGCTGCCAAAAAAGCCAACATAGTGCTAGGCTGCATTAACAGAGGGATAGAACCAAGATCACATGAAGTGTTAATACCACTATACAATGCCTTAGTAAGGCCACACTTGGAATACTGCATCCAGTTTTGGTCACCACAATGTAAAAACGATGTTGAGACTCTAGAACAGGGGCCTTCAAACTTGGCTTTTTATGACTTCTGGACTTCAACTCCCAGAATTCCTCAGCCAACGTGCCTGACTGAAGAATTCTGGGAGTTGAAGTCCACAAGTCATAAAAGGGCCAGGTTTGAAGGCCCCCTGCACTAGAAAGAGTACAGAGAAGAGCAACAAAGATGATCAGGGGACTGGAGGCTAAAACGTATAAAGGACAGTTGCTAATGAAGAGAAGGAGGAGAGGTAACATGATAGCAGTTTTCCAATCTCTCAGGGGTTGCCACAAAGAAGAGGGAGTCAAGTTATTCTCCAAAGCACCTGAAGGCAGGACAAGAAGCAACAGATGGAAACTAATCAAAAAGAGAAGCAACCTAGAACTAAGGAGAATTTTTCTGACAGTTAGAACAATTAACCAGTGGAACAGCCTGCCTGCAGAAGCTGTGAATGCTCCAACACTGGAAGTTTTTAAAAGAGACTGGATAGCCATTTGTCTGAAATGGTATAGGGTTTCCTGCCTGAACAAGGGGTTGGACTAGATGACCTCTGTTCTGTTCCTCACGTTGGTAGGCATTGAATAGTCAGAGCTCAAGAACAGGTATTTCTTTATTCAAGTAAAACAGAACAACAACAAAATGGCTCCACCCCTTTTTATATATTCTCCCTGGGGTGTCGCCAATCGTTGCAACGGAATTTCCCACGCAAATTGCATGATAGTCATTGCTTGCAGACAGCAAGTCTGACCGGGCAGACCACGTGGTCTGCTGACTGTTCTGGTGCAGCTCCCTGTACCTGCTCTTAATTAAGCCCAGTACATAACAACCTCCAAGGTCCCTTCCAACTTATTATTATTGTTGTTGTTGTTATTGTTGTTGTCGTTATCATTATCATCGTTATTATTATCGTTATTATCGTTGTTATTATTATACTATTACAGGAAGATTTTTAATTTATTGTGACTGTCTTAAAATAATATTTCTTGGGAGGAAATATCAGTAGATTAGCCTACATGCATAGAGTTTAATGATCCAGAAAGAATGCTCTCTCCCCAATGGTGAAACTGATCTGCAACTTTTTGCGTGTGCGTTTTTATTCTCTGCAATACTTAGTTGAAAACAAAACAGAAAAAAATCTCACAACTCTCTTGAAAATCTAGAACTATCTCTATACGTGAAGAGGAAGAAGGAAATCCTTAAATCTCAATGTACCTAGAGCCCAAATCAACCATGCTATACTATTTTTGGATTTCAGTAGCTCTGGCTAGACTTAACTATTACTATGATCATTCCCAGAATACAATAAAAATAGTACCTTAAATTCAAGAGCAAACATTGTGTACTCGGCCGTCTTAATTATGCTAAAATGTTTTCTCAATTTAAATAATTATCTTATTAAAATGTTCTAATCTTTGGTGTTGCTGTTTTTTACCCTATATCTCTAATGATCTCTGGATGACCAACCAAAATACTGAATTTGTTCTTCATCTATTTTCTTGTCAATTTCTTCCATGTTTGGGATCACTGCCTGAGGCCTAACCAGTGGTGGGATTCAAATATGTGAAGAACCAGTTCTCTGTGTGGATGCCACTTCCAGAAGTCCATTCTGGGCCTGGGCAACATAAAATTAGCTACTGGTACTGCCAAAGTGGTGCGAACTGGCTGAATCCCACCACTGGGCCTGACCCACTTGTATTCCAGCTTTATCTGAGGAACAGATACAGTTTCATTTGGGCCATGAGTAAGCAGGACAGCCATATGACATACTATTAATATTTTTCATTTCAATTTGCATAAAAGCACCAAACATGCTCAAGAAAAAAGACAAAAATGCAGCAAAGAATAACAGTTTATAAAAACAATGAGTACAATTGTTATTCATACAATCAACAACAACATTTCAACTATTATACATATACTGCAAAATAAACAACTATTAAACTCACATTATTTCAGATTCCACTGTGAACTTCACTGAAATGACCAAATATTAATTGCAAAATCAAGTTTTAATTCCAATAAATACTCCTACGCAAACCAAAGTACGTGAGCATGTGTACACACACCAACAAAGATAATGAAACACTTCAAAGACAGTCTTTGAACCTTGGCACATCTTATTTGCCTTGGGTTGGTCCAAGTATTCTGTTGCATGAGGCAAAGGAAAAATGGGCCACCAGCTTCCATGGATAATCTTTGAAGTAGAAATAGCACTGAAAACAGTAGATACCACCTCAGGACAGCAAGTTTATTGGAGAGCAAAGACATTCCCTTACCACCATTTCCTGTTCACTCTGATTTGCTCACTAATACAGCATGGCTTTTTCCTGAGTAAAAATGATATATACTCCATTTAAATCCCTTTATCAGAAACAATATTGTTGTAAAAGTTGCTTTAATTTACAAGCAATGATACTATCCTAATTCTGCATATGCTGTGTTTATTCCCAAAATATACTGTAAGGTTGCCCATATCCTTCTGAGACAGACTCTTGCAGTTTTGTAGCTATTAGCTCCCTGCCTCTTGACTATTGTAACCTACACAAAGGGATTTTAAGTTAGGCAAGAATATGTGGTCAGATGGTTTACACTGAATTATAAGTAGAAAGAATTTTTTTAATGAAATGATGCATTGTTATCTGATAAAGATAATTTGATATACAAAGTTGTCTCAAATGTCTGTTGGGAATTGTTGAAAGAAAAATCTTCATCAGAGTCCAATCCAAGCTGGGAATAAACAAAATGGAGACTGCTTTAGAAAGAAAGTTGTAGTTTATTGAAGAGCAGAGCCAGACAGAAACATGGCTTTGGGAAAGATGACCACATGGAGCAGGGAGTGGTGGGTTTTTATACCTTCTTGAGCTTTTGTGTTTGGAATTGTTCCTTTGACCTGAGGTTCAGTGTGCCTTTCTGATATTCTGATGGTGATGGGTTAATCCTATTATGTCCTAAAGGGCATATCCTGCTTCCCCGGGGCTGTGGCTGATGGCTATGTCTGTGTTGGATTTTTTGGGGTGAGGGGTTGTTAGTTCTAGGGATCTTTGTCTTTCTAATCCCATCAGCTCTAAGCTTCCTGGTACCAGTCTTTCTGAAAGGATTATTGTATCTGCATTTCTACAGAGCTGATTTCTGCTTGGGAGAGGGAACTTGGGGCTATTAAGAAAAACTGGGCATGCTTTTCTGCCTTTTTAAGATCCTTTGAGAAAATATAATATTCTGCCTTTTTAATATTTCCTTCTCTGGGGGTGGGGGCTGACTTCCCACAGAATGTAATTCTAAAGAAGATACTTTCTTTAATCTCTGGGGCCAGATCCATGTTAGGGTTAGGGTTAGATCCTTAAAACAAACATAAAGTTGAAACCTGAAGCTTTTCTCTTAGGATTACTGGATATGGACTTGAAAAAAAAAAGATTTGGAAAATAATAGTGGCTAATTTTGAGTCTGGACAGACATATAACCATACCCTTCCTGAAACTTGAGAAAAGATTTAATAAAATGTTTGTGTACAGAGATTGAGACAGAGACAAAGTATTTGAGAATAAAGCAAGGACAGCATCTTCAACTGCAATTATGTGTTATTTTTATGGGAGATGATATGCTGGAAAATCAAATTTTCAGATGTTCTTATGCTTTGTTGTTGTTAATTGCGAAGTTGTGTCCGACCCATCGCGACCGCCTGGACAACGTTCCTCCAGGTCTTCCTGTCCTCTACCATCTTCTGGAGTCCATTTAAGTTCACACCTACTGCTTCAGTGACTCCATCCAGCCATCTCATTCTCTGTCGTTCCGTTCTTCTATTGCCCTCAATCTTTCCCAGCGTTAGGCCCTTCTCCAGTGAGTCCTTCTTTCTCATTAGGTGGCCAAAGTATTTGAGTTTCAACTTCAGGATCCGGCCTTCTAAAGAGCAGTTGGGGTTGATCTCTTCTAGGACTGACCGCTTTGAACGCCTTGCAGTCCAAGGGACTCACAGAAGTCTTCTCCACCACCATAGTTCAAAGGCCTCAATTCTTTGGCGCTCAGCCTTTCTTATGGTCCAACTTTCACAGCCATACATTGCAACTGGGAAAACCATGGCCTGGACTATACGCACTTTTGTTGGCAGGGTGATGTCTCTGCTTTTTAGTATGCTGTCTAGATTTGCCATAGCTTTCCTCCCCAGGAGCAAGCGTCTTTTAATTTCTTGGCTGCAGTCCCCATCTGAGGTGATCTTGGAGCCCAGAAAAATAAAATCTGTCACTACCTCCATTTCTTCCCCATCTATTTGCCAGGAATTGAGAGGGCCGGATGCCATGATTTTGGTTTTCTTAATGTTGAGTTTCAAGCCAACTTTTGCACTCTCCTTCTTCACCCGCATCAAGAGGCTCTTTAGTTCCTCTTCACTTTCTGCCATTAGAGTGGTATCATCTGCATATCTTAGGTTGTTGATATTTCTCCCGGCAATCTTAATTCCAACTTTTGTTTCATCTAGCCCTGCCTTTCTCATGATGTGCTCTGCATATAAGTTAAATAGGCAGGGCGACAGTATACAGCCTTGCCAGACTCCTTTTCCAATTTTGAACCAATCAGTGGTTCCGTGTCCAGTTCTCACTGTTGCTTCTTGACCCGCATATAGGTTTGTTCTTATGTTTAAGGACGCTCAATTTCTTATAAGGATATTCAACTCTCAGCCCCTTCAACAACTTCCTGTATCCTTAGCAGCAAAATAAGTATACCATTTCAAACATGGTATCATACATTAAATGTACTGAGACTCTCATTGAGAACAATGTGAGGTTTGACAAATTAATAGCAAATCAATGAAAATGTCTGATATTGCCTAGATTGTTACTCCCTCTTTGAAACATACTACTTCCCATATCCTTCTAATCTTGGATTCTGTGTGGAAAGAATGTAGGGGAAAGGGCAATTGGGAAGGAGAACACATGAGCAGAAGAAAACTTAGACATTATGGGCCACCTTCACTCTACTGTTGTCCCCTGAAAATGCCAAATGTTCAAATGCTTTTTCAACAGTAAGAAAAAATGGTTCACAAAGAAGGTCAAAAATTAAAAGGAAAACAACATAAAAGAAAATAGGGATGGCTTTTGCATTTCCTTTAACCTTGCATGAAGAGAAAAAACCTTTCTCAGAGCAAGAGTATCCCTTGAATAGACATTTATTGGGTTCATTTGTCAGCAAGCACATAACAGGAGACGAAAGGATATATGCCAGAAAACACTTTTTTGTTTTCAACCATTGGCAGAATTTAAACACACTTTGCCATTTATAATATCTGACATTCTTTTTTATCTTTTTAAATATATAAAATAACTCTTATACATGTAATTCAGTGGAAAGCACATTATAATCTCATAAAAACCAATCTTAGCTGCTGCATTGGTCCATGGGGTGAGGGGAGAGAGTCTAAAAATTGGTGATGCATTTATTATGAGCATTCAAAATTATACAAATCCTGTGATTTTTAAATATAGATTGCAAACTGACACAAGTGCCAACATGACTGCAAACCAGTCAAATCTAGTCATTATTTGTAAAATGTACAGAGTACATGTGGTAAACTATTAGCCTAATTGCAATAAATTCTCAGGTAATGCTTTGAAAATAGAAATATTGTCATTACAAAACAATGAAATTAATAGATGAAATTATATCTAATTATATAAACTGTGAAGTGAGTCTGCTTTTCATCTGGCACCTTTCTCGCTAACATTTATGGACATACCTCTTATTATTTAAGCCTTGATAGAATGTGTTAGGCTATTGGGTTTGAGTCTGCAAAGATACCAGAATCACAGGCCAAGTTATCAACCTTTCAATTTTAGCATGATGAAGCTTTCTGTATTCTTGTTTTCACACTTTTTCCTATCAAAATAGGTAAGATCTACCTGTCTTTTATCTCTTGCTGTGGGAAATTCATGTAATACTTGCTTTAACCAATAGATGTCTCTAAATACTTCACAGTTCCAGAAGAGCACTACTACTATTCAAACTGATTTGGGGTGATTTTTGAACTGGCCTAGACAGACAACTTAGTGCAAATGCGTGCAGGCCCTGTAGCTGGAGCAATGCATTTATACACTATACACTGAAGTATTCGTATCAGTATATATGTAATCTGCAGATATAATTTCTGATCTAGCAATAAAATATCACCATAGAAGATTATTTCATGAGCAACACAATTTTTACAAAATGAATGGTAGAATATCAAAATGTATTTAGTTTTATGTAATTTATGCATGCATAAAATGACAAATAGAATTTTGCACATGCATATGGTGTAGAAAATACCATGAAAATCAAAATCTATTAAATTGAGGGTTTATGGGTTACAACGGTGGTTGGATCCCAAATAAGTAACCAGTGAAGAAAAGATCACAATTCTCTCATAAGAGATCAGAAGATAAAGTACTGTAATATGCTTCGTATATGTCTATTCAATACAACCTTCAGGGTTAATAAGGGGAAATATTTTCATGCTTTTGAAATGTTTATATCAAATTTCCGTTACAACTGTTTCTATACACACATGCAGATATTAAATGTTTTCTATTAAATTAAATGTATGATATTTAAAAATTTAATGTTATGTCTAGAAGTCACAAAATAAATAGTACAATTTAAGATGGAATGAATCATAGCAGCATGGAAATAATAGAAGAGAAAATATGGTGCATAGATCTAATTTATGGATTCATAAATCCAGTACTACGTACTACACTAGGTAGTACTGTTTAGTGTTCCAGGTTCATCATTTTACCTGTTGATTGTCCAATATAACAGATTTTCTGCTTTTTAGAAGACACTATCTACTCCCCCAACTATTTTCTTCATATCTGAGATTAGAACTCCAGACCCTGAATTTCGGCTATTTATACTTTTTTTTTATTATTATTTTAAGTCATAGTTGTCACGGTACCAAGAAGCTCACTGATAGCCAGATAAGGTTTTCAATACCTATCACAGGTCAGGAGGTGAAAGCTTTCCTAGTCTATAGGGCATAAATATTATTAATGTCCTAATAGTTAAACAGGAAACCTAGA